AAAAAAAAAAAAAAAAGAAAGAAAGAAAGAAAGAAAGAAAAAAACTGAGTTGAAGAATCATGTGCAACATTTATTCACCCTTAGGTATGAAACTAGCCAAAATTCAGAATTAAACATCCATCCCATTAACTGTTACCTGGTTATTAAAATTTCTTTCTTTCTTTTCTTTTTTTTTTTGAGACAAAGTCCCTTCTGTCACCTTGGGTAGAGTGCCTCATTATAGCTCACAGCAAACTCAAACAATCCTCCTGTCTCAGCCTCCTGAGTAGCTAGGACTACAGGCACCCACCACAACACCCGCTAATTTTTCTATTTTTAGTAGAAACACGGTCTCACTTTTGCTCAGGCTGCTCTTGAACTCTTGACCTAAAGTAATCTACCCACCTTAGCTTCCCAAAGTGCTTAAATTACAGACCTGAGCCATCATGCTTGACCAGGACTATTAAAATTTCAAAAAATATTTAGTGAAGTAAGAAAATAATGTCAATATAATATGCAGTAGTATGTATGTACTCTGCACCCACTTTAAGCTTCTAGGAAAGCTATAAATACATATGCAACGTACATGTAATATGTGTAAATGTACGCCCTCCTCCAGTGAGACCAATAAAACAAAATAGGGCGGCACCTGTGGCTCAGTGGGTAGGGCACTGGCCCCACATACCAAGGGTGGCAGATTTGAACCTGGTCCCGGCCAAACTGCAACAAAAAAAATAGCCAGGCATTGTGGTGGGTGCCTGTAGTCCCAACTACTCAGGAGGCTGAGGCAAGAGAATCACTTAAGTTCAGGAGTTGGAGATTGCTGTGAGCTGTGTGACACCACAGCACTCTACTGAGGGCCATAAATTGAGCCTTGAGACTCTGTCTCTTAAAAAAAAAAAAAAAGAACAATATGTTATTTTCTTGGTTATCATCAGGCTTCCAGTGTGCATATTCTTGGTATGTTTCTGTATTTTAGAAACTTTTTACAATGAATTTCATAGCTTTTTAAATTATATTAAGCTATTTTTCCTTAAAAAATTATTTTTGAAAGAGTTATCATGCGTGGCAATAAGAATTCCCTATAAATATAAGACCCTGTGCTCATCTATTTTATTAATCTAAAAGTTGCAAAGATAAAAGCAGAGACAGAGCAAAAAAGAGCACAGTCAAGGCTGGGTGGGAAATGGCCACTCCTTCGGTGGAAGCTGTGGAGCGTGAGGCTATACTAACGTGTCCTCCCAGTGTCCCCAAGGCCTGAGCGCTGCCCCACCAGGTACACTAACCCACAGAGCTACAGGGAGGGCCCTACACACACTGACCCCTTGGCGGTGGGTGGTGGGCGGTGGGTGGGGCAGGAGATCCAGCCCAGGGAGGAGGCTCTGTAAAGAGCAGCAGCATTCTAGTCTGTACCTGCCTCACTCTCGGATCACTGCACACCTAACAATCCTGCTTAAGAAGCCAGGAAGCCAGGAAACCAGAAAAATACCCACATAGCTAAGGCAGTTCTTACTAATAAAAACAAAGCTAGGGGCATCAGCATATCAGACTTGAGGCTGTAGTACGAGGCCATCGTGGTCAACACAGCATGGTACTGGCACGAAAATAGAGACATGGACATTTGGAATTGAATAGAAACCAGGAAATGAAACTAACATCTTCTAACACCTAATCTTTAATAAACCAAACAAGAACGTCCATTGGGGAAAGACTCCCTATTCAATAAATGGTGCTGGGAGAGCTGGATATCCACATGTAAAAGACTGAAACTGGATCCACACCTTCCTCCACTCACAAAAATTGATTCAAGATGGATAAAGGACTTAAATTTAAGGCATGAAATGATAAAAGTCCTCAAAGGAAGCATAGGAAAAACACTGGAAGATACTGGCTTGGGGAAAGACTTCATGAAGAAGACTTCTGTGGCAATTGCAACAACAAAAATAAACAAATGGGACTTAACTAAACTGAAAAGCTTCTGTATAGCTAAGGAGACAACAACCAAAGCAAACAGACAACCTACGCAATGGGAAAGGATATTTGCATATTTTGAATCAGACAAAAGCTCGATAGAGAACTCAATCCACATGAAAAAAACCAACAATCCCATATACCAATGGGCAAGAATGATGAATAGAACCTTCTCTAAAAAAGACAGACCAATGGTGAACAAACATGAAAAAATGTTCATCATCCCTGATTATTAGAGAAATGCAAATCAAAACCACCCTGAGATACCATCTAACCCCAGTGAGAATGGCCTATATCACAAAATCTCAAAACTGCAGATGCTGGCGTGGATGCGGAGAGAAGGGTGCACTTTTACACGGCCAGTGGGACTGCAAACTAATATGACCTTTTTGGAAGGAGGTATGGAGAACTCTCAAAGAACTCAAGCTAGACCTCCCATTTGATCCTGCAATCCCATTACTGGGTATCTACCCAGAAGGGAAAAAATCCTTTTACCATAAGGATACTTGCATTAGACGGTTTTTGCAGTTCAGTTTACAATCACCAAAATTTGGAAACAGCCTAAATATCCATCAACCCAGGAACTGGATTAACTAGCTGTGGTATATGTACACCATGGAATACTATTCAGCCATTACAAAAGATGGAGACTTTATATCCTTTGTATTAACCTGGATGGAAGTGAAACACATTATTCTTAGTAAAGCATCACAGGAATGGAGAAGCAAGAATCCTATGGACTCAGCTCAGCACCTATAGCTCAAGTGGCTAAGGCACCAAGCCACATACACCAGAGTGGGCAGGTTCAAATCCAGCCCGGGCCTGCCAAACAACAAGGACAACTACAAACAAAAAATAGCTGGGTGTTGTGGCTGGTGTCTGCAGTCCCAGCTACTTGGGAGGCCAAGGCAAGAAAATCGCTTAAGCCTAGGAGCTGGAGGTTACTGTGAGCTGTGATGCCATGGCACTCTACCCAGGGTGACAGCTTGAGGCTCTGTCTCAAAAAAAAAAAGAATCCTATGGACTCAATCCTAGTTGATGACCTAGGACATGGTAGAGGTTGAGGGAAGGGAAGAGCAGAGAGAGGAGAGGAGAGGGAGGGAGAGGGGTAGAGGAAGGGAAAAGCAGAGAGAGGGAGGGGCAGTGAGAAGGTCACAGTGTGTGACATAACTTTTGGGGCGGGACACAATTATAAGAGGGACTTTACCTAACAAATGCAATCAATGTAACCTGGATCTTTGTGCCCGCAATGAATCCCCAATAATAAAAAAGAAAGAAAGATGCCATGAAGCCAACTGCAAGGCTGCAATCAGCACTGAAGATTTAGAGCTGCCAAACAAAACACAGGTTCCCAGTTAAATCTGAGTATCAGGTAAGCAATAAATAATTGTAGCATAAGTATGTTACATTTATCCCACACAATATTTGGGACACTCAGTATTTGAAATACATACGTATATGTGCTAAAATATTATTTGTTATTTATGTAAAATGTAATAGGACATCCTGGTTTTGTTGTTTTGTTGAGTAAACTTGGCAGTCCCTATGGAGCTTCCAAACATGGCATATATTTTGCTGCTCCATGCGTCTATTTTGGGAGGTCACCATGGTATGTGGTTGAACATGACTTTGAATACCAGCTCTGACACAGCTACTTACTAACTAAAGTCAAGCTACTCATCTTCCCTGAGCCTCAGAGGTGTCCTGATGTAGTAAGAGTTTATTCCTTATAAGACTAAGGGGAGAGGAAAACCAAATGAGGTAACACATGGTGCACCACTAGGGTGTCTGGTGCACAGTAGGTGCTCAAGAAAACATAGCTATTGTACACCTGCTTAAAAAGACTCACCTCCCTTCCTTCTTGATATGGCAAACATAATGGCCACTCATTGTAGATGTTCCCATGTGACTGATGAACGCAAATAATTCATACACTGTAGAAGAGGAGACAATTCAGTTATAAAACAGCATTTCTAGAATCAAGAGCACTTCTGAACAGAAGTTAAGATCAACAGTAGTATAATCCAGCAATGCTTGGATTAGAAAAGCAGTCTATTTACCTTGCTATGTTTATACACACTAAATTCAATCTTCAAATTCATGATAACAAAAGCAGAACTTAAACTGCCGAAGCACAATTAGTGTTAAATTGAAGTCTAGAAGGGGATTAAAAATCCTACAACCCAGTCAGGTGGCAGCTCATGGGTCTAAAATGGTAATCCTGGTTCTGTCACTGTCACAGCAGATGGTGGACAAGTGGTTTCCTCTTGCTAAGCCTGTTTCTTCATGGAAATTAAAAAAAAAAAAAAAAAACCCCACTTTGTTACAGAGTTGTATGAGACTTAAATGAGCAATTCAGACTAAAATGCCATACAAATGTCAGAATTAGAAGGAAGAAAGCAGATAGCTGTTTTCATTTCCAGAAGAGATAATGCATCCCTCAAGATTTCTGACTTGCCCTTGATTACATCTATGTGGGACCAAACTCCAGACTTCAAGCTTCCCCAACAAGGAAAAATATAGCCTCTTAGAGGAGGAGACCAGTTAACAAGGACCTCCTGCCGTCAAACCCAGAAGTCTGTATCAAATCTGTGTTGAATCAATCTCAGTTTGTATTCTTTCAGCTAATTCTAGACCCACAGAACATAAATGGGTTCCATGGACTAGTTACCACTCCATTCAGCAAACTGTTACAGACCACAATGAGATAGAACCAACATTCAATGCATTTACAAGCTTTTATAGTAATTGATAGTAGCATGTATGTATGTTGGATTTAATAAAGAAAAAAATGAGCTTGCAAAGTGATTTTTCTAATACTTTTTTATGTGAAAATATTAGAATACATTTATTTTTTCTTTTAATTATAAATTTATGACAGATCTCAGAAAGTGTTCATTAGGAATTCATAGAGGCAAAATGTAAATTTCCACAATCATTTATATATTTTTTTAAAGTTTGTAGGAAACATCCACAGATGCCACTTTCTTTTTTTTCTTTTTTTATTAAATCATAGCTGTGTAAATTAATGCAATTATGGGGTACAATGTGCTGGTTTTATATACAATTTGAAATACTTCCATCAAACTGGTTAACATAGCCTTTGCCGCATTTCCTTAGTTATTGTGTTAAGACATTTATATTCTACACTTAGTAGATTTCACATGTACCCTTGTAAAATGCACCATAGTGTGGTCCCACCAGTTACCCTCCTTCCACCCATCCTCCCCCCTTTTCTCCCCTCCCCTTCCTCTTTCCCCTTCATCTTGGGCTGTAGTTGGGTTATAGCTTTCATATGAAAGTGTGGGTGTTTATAAATTGGTTTCATAGTAGGGCTGAGTACCCTGGATAACTTTTCTTCCATTCTTGAGATACTCTGCTGAGAAGAATATGTTCCAGCTCCATCCATGTAAACATTAAAGAGGTAAAGTCTCTATCCTTTTTAAGGCTGCATAATATTCCATGGTGCACATATACCACAATTTATGAATCCACTCATGGGTTGAAAATGTATTTCTTCTGGACAGACCCTATCTTTCACTCCTCTCTCTCCCATTCTTTCTCTCTTGCTTTTCACTCATGCTCACTCACTCAGCTGCCAATCCCCAGTACTCATCTTACTCTTCAGCATCGGAACACACTGTTGATCAGCTTTTCCTTTCTCAAATATGTACGAGCTCCCAGGACGTGGCTCTTGTAATGTGCCAGCTGCCTCACTGCTTGCTCCGTATTTGTCTCCTTTGCTGGTTCTTCCTCATCTCCCTGACCTCTGAATGTTGATGACCTGGGTTCAGACCCTTTCCCCTGCACTCCACCCAGACACTCTCTCTGAGTGGTGTCATCTAATCTCATGTCAATAAGTAATTTTGTTTGCTTAATTTCATTTTCTGAATGTTCATTGCTAGTATATAAAAATACATCTGAATTTTGTACATTGATCTTGTTTCCTGCAACCTTGCTGAACCCATTTATTAGTTTTAAGATTTTTAGTGGATTCCTTAGGATGCTCTAAATAAAAACTTATGTGAATTGCAAATAGAGACAGTCTGGCTTCTTCCTTGATAATGTGGATGCCTTTTATCTTTTTTCTTGCCTCCTATACAATGTTAAAGAGAAGTGAAGACATCCTCATCTTCTTCCTGATTTGAGGAGGAAAGTGTTTAGTCTTTCACATTAAGTATGATGTGAGCTGTGGATTTTTGTACATACCCATTACAAAGTTGAGAAGTCCCCTTCTATTTCTAGTTTGTTAGGCATTCTTCTCCCACCCTTATCAATCTTAGTCAATGATAAGTCTAGTCTTCCAGTAACTCAGGGAAAAAAATCTTGACTTCTCTCTCACATTCTTTATATCTGCTCAGTCCATCAGCAGATAATGATGGTCAGTAGTTTCTTCAAAATATATTCAGAATCCAACCACTTCTTACCACCTCCATTAGTAACCAAGTCACCATAGTCTCTTATCTAAATTATTACAACAACCTTTTAACTGGGCTCCCTGCTTTCTCTCGTGTTCCCTACCAGCATGGCTGCCAAACCAGTCTTTTTTTTTAATGGAAGTTAATTATGGTCATTACTCTCCCCAGTAGCCCTCCAGTAGCTTCCTGTATCTCAGAGTGAAATCTTCCTCCTGCAAGGCAACACCCAGCATGTCCCAGCCTTCAAGCCTTTTTACCTACTACTTCTCTGTCTCAAACTCTCTTTTTTCAGATGTCACATGACTCTCACTTCGCTGAGGTGTTTCGTTAAATATCACCTCATCAAAGAGGCCTTTCTGAACCACCCTTAAAAATAATAACCCTCCCCCCACACCCACCCACCCAGGGTCCTTATTCTGCTTTCCTGTACATACAGCAGAAGTAACAACTGCCAAGCCACATACTTCCCTGGGCATTTATCTGTTGTCCATCTCCTTTTACCCTGGGCTAGAATATACCTCCACACAGGTGGGAGTTTTTTCTTTACTGGAAAGAGTCCAAGCACAGAATACAATGCTGGGCATGTGGTAGGCACTTCATAAGTATTTGCTGGATATATAAATAAATAAGTGAATGAAAAAATGACCCTTCACTCCATTTCCTGGCTTGTTTTTATACCTTGTTATATTATACAAATCTTTATACATATAGGAGTATAAACTAGAGAAATAATTAATCAGAAACAAACCAGGGAGAATGGCCTTTCCCATCATTTACTAAGTTTCTGTTACTAGATGTCATGAACATTGACAAAAAAAATCCCAAATTTGAAACCAGAAGCCAGGCAGAAACGGTTGTGAATGACAATGGTACTTATTTTTTGCAACAGTGATCTAGGGACCTGGCTCTCGTCTGCCCTCCTATTGGCCTTCCCCACTAAGAACCTGTCCCTACTCACTCAGAATGCCTGGTACTTATTTTTTGCAACAGTGATCTAGGGACCTGGCTCTCGTCTGCCCTCCTATTGGCCTTCCCCACTAAGAACCTGTCCCTACTCACTCAGAATGCAAGACAGGGTGTGAGCTGAGGGAGACCTTTCCATGTTTCTCGAGGTCTATTTGTTTTTAAGTGCTTCTGGAGGAATTCTACATCAAATTCCAAACCTTCCATCTGAGAAACAGTGCTGCTATGCTGCTGCCCTCTAAAAATTTCCATAAAATACAGAAAGGACATAGTCCAATTGAGGGTTTTCCCCCAAGAAACTGCCCGTCCCCCCAAACACTGACTTCAGCAATTCAACAGAGTATTTAATGAGCGCTTCCCACCATGAGGCAGGGTCACTCAGCAAAACAGCCAACAGGCTGACAGAAACAGAGAAATGACAAATCCATACATCGCAATACACCCCCAAATATTATTAAGAACCCAAAGGTGTTTTTCCCTCTTTGGTTAAAACAATTTCTGCATATGCTGAGAATCATAAGAATAAAATTTTAAAGGCACCATAAATCTTAGTTCTATAATTAAAATTAACCAATTTAAGCAACTATTCCATGCATTATTCACGACCTCCTGCTAGGAACCAATAGCAAAAAAAAAGAATCTCTTTTGGTTTGGCACCTAGCTCAATGGTTAGGGTCCCAGTCATAGGTACCAGGGTTGGTGGGTTCAAACCTGGCCAGAGCCTGCTAAACAACAATGACAAGAATAACAAAAAAATAGCTGGGCATTGTGGCAGGTGCCTATTGCCCCAGCTACTTGAGAGGCTGAGGCAAGAGAATCCCTTAAACCTAAGAGTTTGAGGTTGCTGCGAGCTATGACACAACAGCACTCTACCAAGGGCAACACAGTGAAACTCTGTCTCGAAAAAAAAGAATCTCTTTCAATACATTTACAAAAACTAAACAGGTAATAAATTTCAATTTATATTTGTTTCCAAATAGAAAGTCAAACTGTATAAACCAGACAGGGAAGCTACTACTGATTCTTCTCCAAGTTCCCAGAGACCTTCCCAAAGGAAAAAATAAACATAAATAAAAAATATAGTGGGTGTGTCTGTGTGCGTGTGTATCACTGCAAAACACACTCCAAAAAAAAAAAGAACTAAAAAAAAAAATTAGAAACCTCTTCTTATGTAAATTTAAAAGGTAGTTTGAGATCAGGTAAACATTTCAGAAATGCTGACTTTGAAAATAGAAGAACTAGAAATCTGACAAAATCACTCTGCCCCACACCTTGTGGATAGAGTCTTTCTAAATGGTCAGATTAAAAGCATCTGTAACTAGCATTCTCCTCCCTGCAAAAGGCGTCCTTTTTGAACTCGAGGAAAATCTTTCCAATGTGAAGATTCTTAATATCAAATTTCATCACTATCAACCCATCCAACATAACAGCAATTACACTCTCTGATTTTGTTCTTTGAGACATCACTATCAGAGAAATTATACGGAACTTAGAAGGTATAAGAGGCAGGCAGCATGCGCTTCCAATGTCATCTGGAGGAAAAGCCACTCAAA